GTTAGCAGAAATTGTTGCAGCAGATGCATTAGCTGAAATAAAACAAAAGAATGCTCACATCAATAACCATAATCAATAAAATTCAAATAATGACAATCCCCATCCAAGATACCGGCACAACATTAATATCAAGTCTTTGGACAGTAATATTAACTTGTAAGTGATACCTTGTTGCAATGATCAAACATTGACAATAACTCATGTCAAATAATGAAACTATCTTTGGATCGATTCATTATTCACATGTAAACCTTATAATTGTCACACGCTTATCATCGCAGATGTGTATACAGTCTAAATAAATATTAACCTTCCTTTGGGCCGATTAAATATTTACACGAAAGCATACACAAAAACATCTCACATTCCTCATGAACAATCTACACAAGAGAGGTTACTTTGGCAACTTCTTGTTTCAATTAATCAATTGGAGTGAGAGACAACCTTAATACCTTAGTGTCATAATATTTGAATTAAATAATTGATTAAAAACCGAATTAGATTTAAATTAAAAATTTAAATCAACTGAATTTCCAAAAACTTAATTGGGGTCTTACAGCTTAATTAGGGCCCATAACTTAATTGAATAAATTAAGTATACCAAAGTGGACCCATGAAAAGCCGAGACTTAACCATAATGAACACGAAGTTCCCTTAACTTTGACCGCGAGGTTCGACTGTATTGAGTACGAGACTCACTTAAGCACGAACGCGAGGTTCGTCTGAAAGTGAACGAACGCGAGGTTCGTTTGATAAAAGAACGCGAGGTTCAACTTGGGAACGAACGCGAGGTTCGTAACGCGAGGTTCGTTAAAATTGAGCTTGACGCTCACCTGAGTTGAACGCGAGGTTCACCTTAGAACGAACGCGAGGTTCGTTAAAATTGAGCTTGACGCTCACCTGAGTTGAACGCGAGGTTCACCTTAGAACGAACGCGAGGTTCGTTAAAATTGAGCTTGACGCTCACCTGAGTTGAACGCGAGGTTCACCTTAGAACGAACGCGAGGTTCGTTAAAATTGAGCTTGACGCTCACCTGAGTTGAACGCGAGGTTCACCTTAGAACGAACGCGAGGTTCGTTAAAATTGAGCTTGACGCTCACCTGAGTTGAACGCGAGGTTCACCTTAGAACGAACGCGAGGTTCGTTAAAATTGAGCTTGACGCTCACCTGAGTTGAACGCGAGGTTCACCTTAGAACGAACGCGAGGTTCGTTAAAATTGAGCTTGACGCTCACCTGAGTTGAACGCGAGGTTCACCTTAGAACGAACGCGAGGTTCGTTGAGCGCGAAGCTCGGTTAAAATTGAACGAACGCGAGGTTCGTTTGAGGTAACCACCTCCTTGATTTTCGACATGAACCCTTAGGGTTTCAAATTGAAACCACCGCCGACAAACCCAAAAAACCTTTGATTTTTATTTTCAAAACAGATCCAAAATTGGAAAATTTGAAGAAAAAATCAAAGAAAAATCCAAAAAATTCCAAAAAGGTACTGCTCACCGGCGATTTTTGCAGTTACTGTTCACCCGGAAAATACTTTACTGTTCACCCGGAAAAAAATTTCGCTACTGTTCACCGAACATTACTGTTCATCCGAACCCAAAAATTGAATCTTTAACCAGAGATTTAAGATCAAAAACCCAATAAAACTTAAATCCCTAAGAATTAATCAAGGTGGCTCTGATACCACTTGTTAGATCTACATCATAAAACTTGAGATCTAAAATCATATAGCCATGATTAATTCAAAGAGATTAACAAGGATCTAAAAGAGCGGAAGCTTATACCTGAATCCATTGCTTGATCTTGATTTTGGGTTTTGGATCTTCTAACCTTAGGGTTTTCTCTATTAGCCGAAATTTCTCTCTTAGATGGGGGTGAAGAGAATTAGAGAATATAACCCTAGGTTAGGGACCATAACCCCTTATTTATAGATGTTATACTTTTATAATTTAGCCCCTCAATAAATTACAATTACAACCTGGTATCTGCACATATAACCCCATGACTTATTTAAATACCAAGTTAACCCAACTTAATTGATCACTTTAGTGGGTTATCCTGAAAGATAGCAATACACATTGATTAATCATATGTGCCCACAAATAGATTTATTAGATTAAATCCAACAACAACATGTTACTTTTCCATGGGGATAACTACTGGTGATATGAAACTGAAGTTGATGTGGATAAAGGATTAAAATAATGGAAGATTAAGATAATAAATAAGAAAAATAAAGGACCAACAAATCTCCTTCCGAAAACTATTAAATAAAATTTACACTATCACATATACAAATCACAAGATGCATGGAAGTTTTAAAAAATTAGAATTTTATTTTCCCAACTATCAGGTCGACTTTTGCAAACAATTATAATTAATTACTTTAAAATAATCTAATCCAATCTAATAAGAAAAAAATAGATGGAAGTGTTGTGAAAATTATTGTAATTAGATACCATGATTAATTAACTAAAATAAGAAGAACAATATCTAATCTAGTTCATAATCTTTAAACAATCTAATCTAATTCTAATAAGAAGAAAATAACAAAGATAAAAATTCATTATTATTAAATAAAAAAAGAGAGACACCAAGACCGAACCTTTGAGAGAGAACAATTGATAATTGCTTCAAAGTCTGAGAAATATTTGGTGAGAGAAGAAAGTGGATTTGGTGCTTTATTTATACCCGAAGAGTCATATTGCTATAATAAGAATTTGGTTATAATAAGAATTCGGTTATCTTTGTGAATGCACGTATTAAAAGATAGATACAATCATAACATGTGCAATATGATATCTTTCTATAATATAAACTTATTATATTATTGTTAATTAATTAATCATAATATGATTTTACACATGCAAAGTAGATAAATTAGTTTAAACTTTTATATAGTGTATAATGTTTCAAACTTAAAAAAATATAGTATCATTATTATATAATATCATGTATTAAGGATAGATATATTAGTTGTATTAAGGATAGATATATTAGTTATCATTATTATATAATATCATGTATTAAGGATAGATATATTAGTTGTATTAAGGATAGATATATTAGTTTAAACTTAATTTAAAATATCATGTATTAAGGATAGATATATTAGTTGTATTAAGGATAGATATATTAGTTTAAACTTAATTTAAAATAATTATTAGAATTTGATTAAGTTAGAATTTTATTAGGACTAGGATAGTTCAAACTTTGAAGTTATTTGATTAGGATTAGAGTAAATCATTAAATACAATTTAAAAATTGGAATTGATTAGTGATAGGTTAGTTCAAACTTTATAGGGGTATTTTTGTCTACAGAAAGTTTTTTCCGAACTCGTGCTTTTAAAGGGAGTATGATAAGATATGATATGCATACAGGCGGGCTAATTAGGACTACGCTCCGAATTTAGTTAGTTGTAACTTAATCTAAACATCATTTCATAATTATATATATATTTTAAGTTATTTTCAAAATTTTAGTGTCTTGCATCCTTTCTTAAACTATAAAATAACAATGAAAATTTTCAAACCGTACTTGGGTCAAAATAATAACAAAAGGAAAGGAATATCCACAAAATAATAACAAAAAGGAAAGGAATATTCACAACTATGATAAACTTTGAGAAGGATAAATATAATTTACCTAATCTCTACTTCCTTCCCACGTATAAAAAGATTATGCTTTGCATAACCATTTCTACGAGACATCCAACTCACTATATTTATTTTCTAAGAATCTAGGTATGCAATGTTTTTAAACCAAATGTTTAAGCATTATTTTTTAGGTTTTTTTTACAATGTTGCAATGAGGCAAACTGTAGATGACTTTTTTCCCTATGAGTTCAAGGTTTTACGCTCATGTATTTTTTAATTCACCCAATTTGTAAAGATTTTTTATCTTCAAATCCAAAGTGTTCTAGCAGTTTTTTATATAGGTAAGTTGTTATATTTCACTGTAACATGTAAAAAATTGTTCTAAGTGGTTAGGCAAACTAGGGATTCTATCTAAACACACTATCCACCTCAAATATCACTCTTGAGACCCAAAATGCTCATTTGAACAAATATTAAACTCACTTTACTTTTTCACCAATTCATTATATGTGAATTTCTATATTTTGTTATAATCTTGTATATTTCTATTCTTAATCCAAAGTCATATTATTTATCTTTATAAACCCACTCATTTCCAAATTCACTCTTAAACGAAAAACACTCAACCTTATTTTTAAATCTATTTTGTGTTTCAACAGTTCATTGTATATTTGTTCTAAGTGGTCAGCTACGGTGTTTTTCTGAACCAAATATTTAATCAATAAATATTTGTTTTGTTTTTTTTTGCCTCTAAGCCCAAAGTTCCCTCCATTTCTTTGAGCCCACTCATATCCATAGTTATTTTTTTTTCTAAATGATTAAGTGTACGATGTAACAATATGTTGTAACCGTTATATTTAAACTCACTCACTTTTTAAAAAAGATTTCTTACATCTAAACCGAAAGTTTTACCTCCATTTACTTTTTAGACCCACACAATTTCCAAATCACCTCGGATCTAACATACTCAAAACAATTAATTTCAAACCATTGTGCGTTAGCAGTTTTATATCATCGTAAGATACTATATATCGCTTTAACTTACTATTTTGTTGAAATTGTTACATGTATAATGTATTTTTAAACCAAATACTTAAACTCTTTTTTTTGGCTTTTTTCACACCGATGATGCGTCATCGCGCGGGTCAATTTTTATCGTTATAAACTAAATTATACAAGGATTTCTGAGTATATTTTTTTATGTTATCTTTCTAAGTATATATATATATTTTTAAATTTCATACAATTTAATTTTAAGAACAATATTAACATAAAGTCTAACTGCCGCATGACGGGCCTACCGCCTAATTAGAAATCCTGGAAAGTAATTGGGCCTTTGGCCCATGAAATTTTCCAACTATAAATATACCCACATTTATGACTTCGGATAACAGAACAAATAAGTGCCTCTCTCTATCTCTCTCTCTTCGATGGCAACAATTGCACCCTCACTCCATTACAGTCTCCTCTACTCTCCAAACCCTAGAGGAAGAAGAAGATGCAATTCCCAAAAAACCCATTTCGATTCTCAAAGGAATCGCCTCATTCTCACAGCCTTCTCTTCTTCATCTCAGCCTTCAGAGGCCGCCGCTGAAGCTGCAGCCACTGCAGAATCTTGCGTCAATTCGGGCCTCTCTCTCTTCTCTAAAGGAAGGGTAAGCCCCCCAAAACCCTATTTTTTTTAAAAAAATTGTTGAGAAATTAGGAGTTGGGTCATTGAATTTGATGCAGGGGGGAGTTGTGATTGTAAATCCCTACGAATGTGCTGTGAATTTCTCATCGACCCATTTGGCGTTTGAAATTGAAAGATATTAATAGGCGAGAGTAGTGAATGATTGATATTTTTTGCGAGCTTAGAGGCATTGTGGGGTTTGGGTTTGACAAGGAGATGGAGGGGGAAAGTTGAGCACGACCGAATGCATAGAATATCACCTGTGTTTTCTTTTTGACCGGATTACCCTAGGCATTTATATCAATACAAATATAAATGTAGAAGCACAATGCATGAAGAACACGGTCAAATAGAGGAGTTGCGTATTAGCTGTTCAGATTTCTCTGATGTTCAAAGAGGAATACATTAGCAATGTATCGTGTTGTAGTTAGGATTCTCTAGTGAAGGGCATGCATGATTTTATAGATGGCCAAGTGTTAGTGTCTTCGTGGATAATTTGAATTATTCTCTTGTATTATCAAGGATTCAATCGCAAATTTGAGCGCAATTTTTCCCCTCTAGGCCAACATACCACGAGAGTTTTGTACTAGCGAGGGTTTATCTGGTCCGTTTCATCGTCCCGGATTAATATGCACCAATAGCATATCATAGTGATAAGAATTTAAGCCCTGATACGAGTAGACAGACAGTTGAACTGCAGCCTTAGATTTGTTGATTAGTCACTCAATGTACTAATATAATTGCACACAGACCTCTTCTAGTGTTGCGTCTTGTAACCTGTTATCCTCGTAATTTGATTTTGGCGGATAGACCCGTGAGTGAATTTCTTTTAAACCTTTTAGACTCACAGAACGAGAGAATTGTTTTATTTATTTATTTAAATAAATTGTTTTTAAAATAAAAGAGCCACAAAAAGATTTTCACTATGGTTCTGTCTGCTGAAATGAAATTACAAGGGTTTGCAAAACCTGATTCTGTAGAGGGCCTATGTGCAGTTAACCATAATATTTGTCACTATGTTTAAAATGATATGAGCATCTTCAGGTATCCAATATATATCATGAGCTATGACACATATTATTCTGTTAGTTTGGAAATGAATGCATTCATAAAATTTCTGTTTAATTTGTTTCTTTTTTCAGTTTATAAATCAGATATCTTTTAAAGTGCCCTGTGAAAATCTTCTCCTTGCCTATGTACACTCCCCTCCGTATACCACCCACCCACCTGTACACACAGACCACCGCATAGAAAAGAAACTTGCCACACATTTGAAACACATCATAGATACCCCAACGCGCTATAATTTTTGCTAACTTTCCTATTACATATTTCATGTTTGCATACTATTTGACTCACAGTTTCTGAATGATAGGTGAAAGATGCTCTGGTACAGTTTGAGAATGCACTTGATATGAATCCAAATCCTATCGAAGCCCAAGCAGCACTGTACAACAAAGCCTGCTGCCATGCTTACAGGTATGATTTTTATCTTTCTTTTCTATGTTGTCTTATCTGAAAGATGTTGGTTGATATATACAATAATCCTATTCTTGTATTCGTCCCTTAATTCTTCTACAAATTAGAATTGTTTCATACATACTGACACACATTTTCATTGGTATTGTTTGCGTGCAATTTTAGCATATTCATACAATTTCTACTCCAGCTTTACTTATTTTGTCTCTCATGATATATATCTTTCTAAAAAAAAAAATCTAATGAGCACCTGGATTGATAGGAGTGAATCTTCAATGCTTTGTAGACTATTGCCAGGAATTGTGTTAAGATTAATCTCTCACTCTTGCAGTTAAACTTACTATTGTGACTTTTTGAGCCAGGGGGGAAGGGAAGAGAGCTGCAGAATGCTTGAGAACTGCTTTGCGAGATTATAATCTTAAATTCAGCGTCATTCTTGATGATCCTGACTTAGCTTCATTTAGAGCTTTGCCAGAGTTCAAGGAATTACAAGAAGAGGTTTGGAATGCAATGGTGTTTGAAAGCAGACTCCTTTAGAGCCACACCAACTCTTTTTTTTAATTGGTTTTCTAGGCCAGGCAAGGTGGAGAGGACATAGGATATGGATTTCGTAGAGATCTCAAGCTCATTAGTGAAGTTCAGGCTCCATTTCGTGGGGTGAGAAGGTTCTTTTATGTAG